AATGCAGCAACCGCTTCTTCAGGCGTTGAAAAACGTTGACCTCTCAGTTTGTTTTTACTAACGGGAATAAAAAGAAGTCATTCGGTGCCAAGTCAGGACTATTCAGCGGATGACTTATCAAATCGATGTTTTGGGTGCTCAAAAAAGCCGTTGTTTGAGCCGATATGTGAGAGCTCGCATTGCCGTGGTGAAGAGTGATCCGTCTTGATTTTCCTGAGTTCTTGGAAGACAGCTGGGAAACAAATCGTTGTGTACCGCTCAGAATTGACTGTTCTGCGTTGTTCTAGTGGTACGGATGCGACATGTCCAGCTTTTCCGAAAAAACAGGCGACCATCTGTTTGAAAGTGCTTCGTGCGCGAACAACTTTTGTTGGATTTTGCTCATCTTGAAACACCTATACAGTCGACTGCTGTTTACTTTCGGGCTCATACGCTCCACGATTCATCACCTGTCAAGATGTCATAGACGTGTTTCGAAGCACCGCGATCGTATTTTTTGAGCATTTCTTTCGACCAATCGACACGAGCCTTTTTTTGAGCGATTGACAAATTGTGTGGGATTCAACGTGTACAAATTTTTTTGAATGTCAAATGTTCATGCAATTGAATGTATGCTGGTCCCACTAATGCCTAAGGTTGTCTCAGTCTCACGATAGGTCACATTACGATCTTGCAAAATCAGTTCACGCATAGCATCAATGGTTTTCGGAACAACAACTGATTTTGGACGACCTTCGCGAAATTCATCTTCGAGTGAACTACGACCATGATTGAATACCATCGATAAACACTGGTCCTTGATGAAGCTTCATCGCCAAAAATTGAACTAAGTTCATCCATGCAGTGTTGTTGAGTTAATCCACGTCGAAAGTTGTAATAAATAATCGCACGAAAATGTTCACGATTTAATTCCATTTTTGGGCCAAGATGGATCTTAGTTACTGTAAACAACACAAATAGCGCTCGTATGTCAAAACGTTCTGAGTACGTATAACCTCAAAACATCCAACTTTACAATAGAGCTGTCAGTTGCCAGATTGCAGCACCAGGGTTGCCAAATCCCGAAACATAAAAGGCAACCTTCGTACTCAAGAGACAGAACTGCCTTTCTGCGGGGTATCTCGCAATATTGCTGAAATACACACAAACTATATTGGATTCACGCCATCTCACGAGACGGACGCGTCTGGTTGTGCTCTTAAATGTTTGTCACTTTATCTACTATTTTGGCTATTTGAATATATTTGGTGTGTTTGAGTGCTTTTATTACTTGTTGCAGGTTGGCTGGATATATAATTTCGGCTGTATTTTTGCTATTGCCAAGACTAATATATAACAAATTTTAAACGGTTACTGGAACATTAACGAACTTAAGATTTACGAGTTGGTGATTGTGTCAAAACCTGTAAACAGTTCAATTTCGTTTCGAAATCATATCACTGTGCTACTGAAAGATTTTTATTATATTTCTGTGACGATTCTGTTCATTTGAACTAAACGAGGATGGTGTATCGAGCAGTTTTGAATTTGTGTTCCAAATTTAATGTATTCTGTATTTTCAAAGCAATATACTCTTTGGGCCTCTGGACTGCTCGGTGACGTCACGAAATGTAGGGTAGCTTAGCAGCGACTGTCAGGCAGTGGAACTAGCGAAGTGCTTCTTGTTTTTACAATTCCCATTTACTTACAATAAAGTTACGTAGAGCCAAATACCAAAAATACGTAAAAGTTGTTCATTCCAATAGTAGACCTCCATGCTCTACAATTAAAAAACCCCTGTCTTAAAAATCGGTACCAATATACAAAAGCTCAAAAACAAATTTATTAGCAGCTAAAGTATTTTCAACACTACCTTGAAATCCTTTAATCATTAATATTTTAAATTAGCTGTTGCTCATAAATTAAATTTCTTTTCCTATTTCACTTTATAGAGAGTTCTCTCCTGATGTTTAAAGTTTGCAAAATAAAGTAAAGAATGACAAGAATTTTCTCTTTCAACAACAAAAACATTAATTCCATTTTTCGAATTTCCTTCAAACAGAAATTTGCTCTTCCCTTCTACAAACAAGAAAATTAGCACCAGGTTTATTGTTATTACCAAAAAAATTTAAACTTACCATTAAATTAAACTTTAAAATTACCATTACGTTTTTTAGGCAATAATTAGAAGCAGAATGGTTTAATTTTAATAATTAAATCCATATGAAATGCATTGAATGAAATCTCTTATTATTCATTATTTCTTTACAGCTTACCTGTTTCAAAGTATTTTAAATTAGGATTAAATTACACTACAAAGCCATTCTAATTTCTGTGAAAATACTTTCATGCACAACAACCTTCAAAAGCTCACTTTTTATTGCTGAAAAACAAAGTTAATTAACCAAAAATTGTTGATCTTTTCGAATTTAACTGCTGGAATCTAGCCTCAGCATATTGTACTTTAAATTCAAAACCCTGGAAAATTTAAACTATTTGATTAGGCAAAATAAGTTTCCTTTTTAAATTCCCATGAGATATTAATGATGCATTACAATTTTCTTCAAATGAAATATTAAGATAAAGGGCATATTAAAACCTACACACAGTAAAAATCCATTCTATTGTCCATGCACACATTTCATGCGTTTTAAAACAATGAAGTACATTAGATTAAAAATGAAATAAACTAATCACTATATTTTTAGCACAAAATTTATTATAAAAGAAAATGTACACATACTTCAACAAAAAGTCAGTTTTATACAATCATTATTGTGTCTGAAGTTCAGACACGTAGGCTTTTTACCTAAAATTCACAGGCAGAAAGTATTTATTTTTACTTAAATAGACATACAAAAAATGGCATTTATTGCAGCTAAAGATATGGTTCAAACAAGCATGTAAACAAATGACATTTCAACATTTTTTTAACGAGGGTATGTGAAAAATCTGCTCACAGATACCTTGAAGCCATCTCCAAGGTTATGCGAGGATGTAAATGATTGTGACCCACTAAAAAACACCTCCCAATGTCACTTCCTTCAAGACAGTGGAAAAACTGTTTCTTATTGGAGACTGAGAATTCTAATGACATCTGCAACTTCTGTTTCATTGCCCCTTCCGCACTCTCTCAAAATCATTCTGTTTCATGTTATACAGTCTTTACACTCCCAAGAATTTAATTTAGTCAATATTGCATCAATTGCCCCAACAATTGGATAAGGTGCTAGAACAACTTTATAAAAAGTAATTGAATCACTTTCTTGAATTACCTTCCACTCACTATTATTAAAAAAGTGAAGTTTGGATTTGAGTTCTTCAAATGACGAGAAACTTCTGGTCTTTTCATATTCCTCATGTTCTTTAAAGCTGTCTGTAATGGCTTTATCTATTGCAGCACACTCTCTTCTCATCCTCTTTTGCTCCGGACACTCTCTTAAGTTGTAGGGCGACCAGATAAATCAGAGGGCAGATCAGGAAACTGTGTAGGAACAGCTTCCGGAAGTAGTCGAAACCCTTGTGAAGGCCGGCCCCCGCCGGCGCGCCGCGGCGCCTTCGTGAGAACAGGCCCTGGAGATTTTTTTTCTCTTTACTCAGCCAAATGCCCCTGCTGTACGGAAAGACTCGTTGTTCCAATGCCACCTAAATAATCTACTATTTAGGAGGTACTGGTTGTTGTCTCTTTCCCCTCCAACGACGCGCTCTACTGAGTCTACTCGTTTGCAATTTCCGGATGCGGACTATCAATCGCTGCTTCCGATCGGCGCGTAATTCGAAATTCCTTGTTTCAGAAATACCTGAAAGGACTTATATCCCCCATTTATTATGACTTATATCCCCCTTATAGAGATGTTTAAAAAAATGTACCGAATTAATTTGGGTGTGCACATGCGAACGCGCAAATAGGCACGAGTCGCCACTGGAACTAAGTGATGAGATTGTTACCAATAAACAAGTCTGTGTATAAAAGAAAATAACAAATGCGACAGAGACACTCATAAATGGTCAAAGTAAATTGACTTCTCATAACTGAAGACTTGCGATAAATTGTAAGCTCATAGTCTCTTATGACATATGCCAAGTGCTGTAGGAAACATTCAGAAAGTATTATATAACTTCCATTTTTAGTGGTGCAATAAATAATTTGGAAACTAGGAAACAAATATTGTGAAAACACATTGCACTGATAGAAACTGTAATATACACAAATCCAGGAAATGGGAGTAATCATAAAACACATACTCAACCCAATACTGTTGCCAGCCAGCAAGGCACTATCTGCATTGTGCTCACACTATGTTCTGATATGTTATAAATGAATCACAGCAGCTAAATGAGAGCCATCCACATCAGAGAGTATGAACATAAAAATGCACGGTATATCCGGAGTTTAAAGAGTGGCACCGGTACCTTCGGTTCACTGACCCGGTTCGCTAGAGAGAAATCGACTCACTGAACTGAATCCTTGTTTATTGTATGGTCACCATGTTATCGCAAGAATTATAATTTCTATTTAACACTCACATGCTACTTAAACTATCATTACTACTCAAAGCCAAAATTTAATTACCAAAAAAGCATCTTTAATACTTAACACTTTTTTATATGAAATATTTATATATTTTTTTTATATTCTTTTAAAAAATATTAGCCATATTGTGAATACGTTAATGCTGCACGAAAACAAAAAGTACCTGTATCACCAAAAAAAGTATATATAGTATAGTTATGGAAATGGTCGCTTTATCCAGCCAAACCAGGGTGTATCCAAACTCTGTAGTGCGATTTATTTAGTTGTGCATTTGACGTAAATCTGCTGTTCACGGTTTCATCCAATCGAGAGCTTGAACGTCCCCATAGTGATGTCACTAGCGACTTTTAAGCTTCCGATTGGATGAAACCGCAGAAGCTGATTTACGTCAAGTGTATAGTTACAGAAATCCTTGGTTGTTCCGTGGTTATGACCTCTGCAACAGAAGTAGAATTGAACAGAAGAAAAATTGTTTAATATGTCGAAAATGGCATTGATAGGGTGTTATCGTTCTCTAAGACTTTTGACGAGACAACAGGCTCGTTTTTTATCCACTTCAAGGAAAAATAGAGAAACTGTTACAGTTGCTGAGAAAGTGGAAAAGACGGAGACGGATTGCAAGGTGAAAAAGAATTGGGTTAGCTACGGTTTTGACTCTCGCGATGAAACAATGGATCAAAATGCAATGCACTGTACAATGTTTGCCACGATTACACTATGCATAGTGTTTGGTGGGTTTTACTGGGCCTACGCTCCAGACTTCAAGCTGATGAATTGGGCCCAACGTGAAGCGTTCTTGGAAATAAGAAGACGGGAAGCACTGGGCTGTCCCTTAATTGATCCCAATCTGATAGATCCTGAGAAAGTTACTTTGCCCTCTGATGAAGAGCTCGGTGAAACAGAAGTTATAATTTAAAGTTCTGTAAGAAAACGTAGATAAGGTATACTGTAGATATTAATAAGTCTTGTTTCACTGCAAAATAAATAACTTTTACTGTTACTTAAATAAAGTGATCCTTTTGCAAAGGTCATGTAGTCCTGTGAAACATCCAATTTATAAAGCAAGTGTTGAATCATTATTAACATATTAAGTATGTGAAATCAGTGAATCCTGTAGATAATATATGATCCTGTGGTACTGAAATTAAATATTGTAAAGTTACCTGGAATTTAGACATTAATCATAATGAAAATTCGTAATGGAAAAGTTAACAGTGTATTATGTCAAGTGTGGAATATTTATTGGTTTTACAGTGGCTGCCTATGTGTAAATAAAATACAATAATAAATGGTATCTTTGAACTGTTGTTGCATGTTGCTCTTTATAAGATTGTAACAAACCTTGAAACAATGATAACTTTTATATAAAAATGAAATTATTTTGTAATGACAAACAATACATTTTTGGCAGTGCTACAACGCTAATGTTTAATTACTTTTTTGCTTTGAGGATGTAATAGAAGAAATAGTAAAGGCAGAATTAAACAAATTGGTTTAAACAGATTGACAATCGGGAACCTTTCTTTCCAAATTTATACTTTATAATGAGCTTAGTTCATGAAGAAGTTAGCATTAGTTCAGATACGTATTATAGACAAAGCTGCACTGATGGAAGAATGTGGTTATGGTACTGCATTTGAAAGTTTGTGATCTGTTATAATACAAAATCAGAGTTCTTTATACCAAATTCAATGTACATTGATTGTACATTCCTTGTATTATGAATTATTCATTTCGATTTGTGATAAGTCACAGGTTTAAGATCATGAGATTAGGTGAGGTGGTATTTATTTTAATTATATTGAGCTTCATATAAACACGGTTTAATAGCTGTACATCAAAAGGGGGAGAAGTTTGGTCTATGCATGTTTTCTCATACTTCGGAATGCCCACCTTTGCTTTTTTTACTACAGAAGTTTAAATGATAATTGTAATAAGTATTTTTGGCACAATTTGATTGAAAGAAATATGTAATATAAATAAAAGTAAGAAATATGAAACATCCTGTGTAATAGAAACTATTTACAACAGGAAATAAGTTACAGATTTATGGCTTTTATTCCTTAAGTATGAGAGAATTTCTTAGCCAGACAATCTTGAGTTCGGAAAACAAGTCAAAGATTATTATAATTGGATAACGTGACTGGAAAAGAGAAAACTACATTAGTTTCATTTAAAAATGCCTCATTTTCATTGATAATCATTCAACATTAACATATTCTTATGTATATTTCCCCAGAAACAATATTGAATATGAGTTTTGTATGAGAATTGATGAGTTCATTTCTCAAGAGAGTAAAAGAAACTATATTTAACTTTCTGTATACTTTTTCTCTTGATATATCATGAAGATGATACTGTCAAATTCTACAATCAGAGTTTTATTACAATTTTGAATTTATTTTGAGTAATTAACTATTGTTTAAAACGTACAACATAAGACAGTAACAGTAATTGTTACATTATGATTCTCTCATTAACCTTGGCAATTTGTTTTCATTGTTTTCTCCACTAATTCTGTACAAAAACGTACAGGGTATCAATTAAATTTACATGTAGATTTTCAAGTTAGTGAACATAAACATAGGAAAATCAACTGATAATAAATTTTACTTAACTACTTTATTCTCCTATTATTAATTACGCAAGTCCAACAGAACTTAACATTAAAACCTTTCTGTGGAAATGGAGGAATTCACCCAGCTTGTAAATAGAAATTCCTCATGCATGCAGTACAGTCAGGGTTCTTTTGTCTTCACCTACTTGGCTTAAAAGTGTGTGATTCACAAAATATAATTATTTAAAACATTCAAGGGGCTCACACTCTAATCTTGTTTCCCTAAATTCTTTGCCTAAAAGCATCCAGCATAGTAAGAGGATAAAAACTGCACCCAAGATATTTTTTGACTGGATTCCAACCATAATCCTACTACACAAATAAAAAAATGTGTTTTTTAGTTTCATTTTTCTAATGTCTTTATTCTGTAAGTGAAATAAAAAATTATGTAGAGTTCAGGAATAGATGTCCTTCAAAACTTTATTTTTAAAAGCAATTATTGGAAATTTTTAGAAAGTAATTTTGATTGCTGTTGAAATCTGAAAAAAATGATAAGCAGATGAAAAGTGTTTCTTCTCATTTCATTGAGTTGAGTTCAAGGTTATTTTGGATGTGGTGGGATTAGTAAAAGTATTTAGTCCAAAAATGTAGGTAAAGACTTTATTACACATCTTTCTAAATAAGTGTCTTAAAAAACATGCCCTTCCCTGGCTATTGTACTGTTGGTTACCTGGATAATTCTTTCCTTCTGCTAGAGCTCACCCTCATGTTGAATGCAAAATATTTTATTTCAAAGATTTATACTGTTTTCTGCTATTCCAGAAATTGTTTGTTCAGACATGTGTTAAAGGTTGTTCTCAACTAATGAAGGACAGACTTCAGGTTAATTAATTACTAATTTCTAATCTTCATTATTTCTCTTGCTAACTCAAAAATAGAAGAGTGTTACAATATAATTCAAGTAAAAAAACTTTTACAAAATGAACATTTTTGATGGTCCAAGTGAACTAAACCAAAGTGGGGTAACAACACAAACTTTCGCATAATAATTACAATTTTTGAAAATTCATGGAATTAAATGAATATTGGACCTGCTCATTTTCATAAGCATACTCTCTGAAAGTAAAAATAAAAAAATAATAATAAAAGAAAAATTTGGATCTATTCTTGAGGAAATCTTGTTTTAGAAATTGTATTTATTTCATGCAATTATGCAAAAACTATATATCTTTCAAAAATTTTACACAACCTCATTTAATGATATAATTTTGGAGAACAGATTTCAGTAAGAAAATATATCTTTTTTCAATATTGTAGAGTAAAGAAGACAGAAAAATTTTTAAACTTTGGCAATTGCTAACTTTCAAAGAGTTCTATGAAAATCAGACAATTGGCATACTTTATTCAATCTGAAAATATATAAATAGAAATAAATAAATAAATCTGAGGCCATTGGAGAAAATTTAGAAAATGACCCTGAAGTTTTATGTAGAGTATTTACCCAAAATCAAAATATCCATTTCAAAATTCAATGGACTACCTCAGCCATTTCGATTATAGAATGACAATTTTTGTGAAAATCCTGCCTATGATTTGTGTTCAGATCTGGACGTTCAGTTTTGCCTTATATGAATATTTTGACATCAATTTTGACAATACAAAACATGGATTCTGACCTATGTGTGACACCCAGAAGACGGGGCAGCTGGAGCAATTTCCTCAGTCCTGAGACAATTCAGGGCCCGACAATTCATTTTTTATTTAAAACAATTAAAAAATGTGTATACAATTCCTCTAATTAAAATTAAAGTTTCATATCCTGAAACATTATCACAGTGCTTTTAACTAGAATTCATATTGAGTGTAGTGACATTTAATGAACCTCAATTATTTGCTAGTGGTTTTAAAAATAATTTTAGATTTTACCCATGACAGTTATTTTTCCTCCTCCCTGCTGTTAATTTTATAATTATACATACTTATTAGGAAATGGTAGTATGTTAAACTGTAAGATAATTTCCAATGATTATTTGCTTTTAAAAATACAATTGTTTGCAACTTAATGACTGACTGATGACAACAACAACAAATTTTGAGTTCTATTTCAAATCATTAAGAATAAGGTCTGAGTTGAAGCCTGGAGATATACTCTTATGGTGTCAGGCAAATCAGCCTATAAATATTTGTTGAAGAAATCTTAGCAAAATTTAATGTTAAAGTCATTTTATTAGTAGCTAGTAAGATAGCACGATTGAACCACTTAGCAAAGAAAATTAAATAAATTAGAAAAATTAATTTTAACAGATGTTTCAAAGGGCAGATATTAAGTTTTAATGTGCAACAAAAATGATATAAAAATACCAGGATAATGTAATAAAATTTAGAAGGAACAAGAATTTAGAATAACTTTATAATATGATTTTGCTCCAATTAAATGTCCTCAATTGTTACCAGTCATGAACAGGAAGAAAATGTTCGGTTTTAACAGAAATAATATGTCCACTACCTGTAAGAGTTCCTCTCGTCACAAAAACACTGAGAATTATCCACAAATCTCAAATTTTCAAAGCTCGCAGCATCAAACTTCTGTGTTTATTTCAACTCAAGTTCTTGTCCTTGAGCATAGCCTCCTTCATATGAAGGCATATTTTCCAAAACCTCATTGAATGTAAGAAATGTGGGAAAGGACCATTCATCAGACTTGGTTATCAATATTTTCATAGGCTATTCCACTCGTGACATTAAAAAATAGTGTTTGTATTATACACTATTGTATAATTCTTTCAGCCTCTTGGAGGAGTCTGTGGAGTTCCTCCCTTTCCACTACGAAGCGTGAACAATGAAAGAACACTTGTTCTGCATCCTCAATCACCGGGAAACACTTTGGGCATGAGAAGCTATCGTCCAACCGGAATCGGAGCTGATACTCTCGGTAACATCCATGTCCTGCGTTAGATAAAAAGCAACTGCATAAGATAAAAATCTAATTCTCCATGTTCCCTTTGGATCCACGTCATGAAGTCTGGAATGACCCGAAATTTCCAACGCCCAGTTGATGATTGCTCCCATCGTCGTTGCCATTGTTTCATTGTCACCCCGTCTCTTCTTTGGTGATTCTTTCGCATTCCAGTTTGAAGCCCCCTCCCGTTTGTGCAAGTAGAGTCTAGCTCTCTCTTGCGCAATGAGGTCGATAGGAGGCATATCTGCTAACACTCACACAGCATCATAGGATACAGTGCGAAACGCTCGAGCAACCTGCAAGGCGGACCTTCTGTGCACCGACTTAGCCCCACGGGCGTATGACTGAATGCCCATGGCATCAGCGCAAATAGGGGCTGCGTAGAGAAGAATGGAATTTA